CCTTATGTCTCTTGTCTGGTTGGTCCCATATGATCTATGACTGATGTCTCATGTTCTGGGATCTGTCCTTCTTGGAGTCAGGTGATTGTAGCATCAGCTGTCATTTGGGGTGTCATGCCATGTGACTGTGCTCTGATTGTTGTCAATTGCAGCTGTCCACAATTGATTTTAGGGACATCCCCTGACAAATGCATTCCCTGACAAGAAGGTGGTACACCTCAAGAGGTCATAGGTGATTGAAATGGGGCTGAGGGGCAGGTGGACTATGAGGGGGGCTGAACTGGTGATCAGAAGAGCAGTTCTGATAAGTCACCCCAGAAGGCAGGCTATTTTGAGGTTCATTCCACAGATATGGGTCATTCAAGGAATCATAACCTGGATCTTCTTATGGGTCAAATGCCATCTCACAACAAGAAAGGGTGTCTGCATCAGAGGGGGTCTGAATCACCCCAGGAGGTAGGCTGGTTCAATGTTTATTCCAGAGGTCAGAATCATTCAAGGCATCATAATCTGGATCTGCCCAGCAACCAGATTCCATCTTGTAAGAGAAGAAGTGTTTTAGATAGTGAGAGAAAGAGAGCAGACTGAGAGCAAGAAAGAGAGGGAGGGGAGGAGACTACCAGGCAGACAACTATGATGTATGCATGCATCACATCACATGAGCAGGGGTAATTTCTTGGATGACCCCATTCATAGAGGGGCACTCCATGCAAAACCTGTGACCTTGGGCTGGTCACTCCTCAATTCCGCAGGCTAACTAACATGCATCAAAGGTGCTGCAGCCAGGGCAGATCCCTCCGCCATGGCTCGTGTGCGCAGGGCAGCTCCTTCAATCATGCCGGAACCCATGTAGCCTTTGTTGGCATGTAGCTGAAAATGTAATGTCGTACCGGTTACGACGAGAACACCCTATACTGTAGACCTCCAACTCGCAATACATTCCTTTTCTACTTCCAGCCTTAGGAATGCTGGAATGTTCCCCTCGATCCAGATGCGGAAGTACGCGCCTCCTCCTCCTTCACCACACCACAGCGCTTGAGAGAGAGCAAGCCAAGCTGGGTGGGGAAGCGAAGTCCCGGGACCTGCGAGCGCGCAGATGACATCTTGGAATGAGGACGGAATGGAGTAAGACGCAGCAGGGTTGACAATATGTACATCGATTTGACCCTACCGTACCAAGCGAAGGAAGGCACTCCCGTCCAAGCCACACCTGTCCCTTGCCCTCTTAAAGCCCATGTAGTTCCCTCATTTCCTCAGTCCTCTTCTCCCAGTCCTCCCACCCCACCCCAACCCAATACTCCTTCCATCTCTGTAGGCCTGTAGGCCCCTCCCTATGCCGTCTTTCTCCAGGTCGATGTTCCCCTCCAGGCCAGCACACTTCTGACCAGGACATGACGGATCATGTAACAAATGTAGGAGACGGGGGTTTCGGATCTGCTTCTTAGTAGTCAAAGCAGAGTAGAGCAGCAAGTGTAGAATAATATTTGACACAACAGTTTACAGAGAGAGGGAGTGAGGATACCTCTAGGTTCGAGCTCGCCCAACAAGGACGGTCTGGGACAGTCACGTGGCAGTGCTTCAGGGACCGAACGACTTTTTCAGTTCAGTCTCTGTTGACTGACTGGGCCTCTCCCTCTTCTTTTCTCTACAGCCTTTTCTCTGCAGGAGATGCCCGAGGAGATACACCCTCACCGATTAGTGCATATTGCCTCGGAGCGCGTCTCTCATGTACAATTTTCCCTATTCGGCCGGATGTAGCTCACGTGATATAGGTATCCAGCACCGACTACCCAGGTCACTGGCCAGGGGAATCGTATACCTGGGACCTCGAGTTTTTCCGAAAAGTCCGTCATTTCTTCCGTTACCTACTCCTACTGACCTTTACCCAGAGCTTACAAGTTGACGTCAAGCGTCTCACGCCCACTACAATCGACTTCGACCTCGTAGGGACAGACGCAGCGATCGCCAACGCTCTCCGGAGAATCATGATCGGGGAGGTGGAAACGATTGCAGTGGAGAATGTGTGGGTTTGGCAGAACACAAGCGTCATGCAAGATGAGGTGCTGGCGAGTAGGCTGGGGCTGGTACCTTTGAGGATCAACCCGGCGAGGCTTGAGAGCTGGACCCGTGCGTACTCTTCCCTACTCCCATACTCATTGCTGACGGAGTATGCGCGCTCACAGCGAACGCTGTTCCAACCGATGCAAACACCATTTCTTTTGAAGTGCAGGTTACTTGCACCAGCCGTCCCTTTCCGCCAAGAGGGAGCACCGACCCCTCAGAGCTGTACGAAAACTCGTCCATCTACGCCTCCCACCTCCGGTGGAAGCCTGTTGGTGCGCAAGCAGCACTTCCAGACTGGCTCGCCGACCCCCCTTCTGTCGCAAAACCCGATATAGTTCTCGTCAAGCTTCGCCCGGGGCAGGAACTCAACATCGAGATGCACTGCGTCAAGAGCTGCGGGAGAGACCATGCAAAGTACAGTCCGGTCGCTACTGCAACGTACCGTCTGTTGCCATATATCCAGATCCTCAAACCAATACCGGAGCAGCTGCAAGCGAAGTTTATGCAGAGCTTCTCCCCCGGTGTTATGGGGAAAAGAAGGAATAAGCAAGAGGAATGGGAGGTGTTTGTCAAGGATGCGAGGAAGGATACGATGAGCAGGAACGTCTTCCTTTATCCCGAGTTTGAGGGTGCGGTCAAACTCACTCGAGTGAGGGATCATTTCCTGTGTACGTCCCACATCCCGCTTCTCTCTCTCAGGCAACTAACCTGTTGCAGTCACCATCGAGTCAGCAGGGCAAATGGCACCCAACGCCATCCTTCCAGAAGCGATTGCCGTCTTCAGGCGAAAATTGAGGACCGTGTCAAAAGCACTTGACGAGCTCATGCACCCTCCTGAGGATGCGGAGCCAGAGGTGCAGGAGGGGGGGATGGAGCTTGACGCTTAGTCTTGGGCCGGGTGGTTGTACTAATACAATACTGTGTTATTAATTTCATCGATCTGTGCTTGGGATGTTCTGATCAGGAAGAGTCGTGCCGAAATTGATGATCAAAGAGTGTCTGGCGATATTTCTAGGGGAGAGTTCACAACATGATCATTAAAGATATCATGAGTCTCCTACTAATGATGATCCGAGATTAAACACGAGCATCAGAGTTCTAGTGCATAACTGTTACGAGGGCACGCTTCCCCAGTTGTCCACCATCTCCGATGCACCCTCTCTCGCCTATCTTCCAATGAGCTTCAGGCCACATGGTTTAAATTTTGATTACCTTCTCGATCACTGCCTTGCGTCTCTCCCTGGCCCTCCGCTGGAGTTTCATCCACTTGCCCAACGGGCTCTCGGCAACCCCAATAGCCGCTTCGAACCTCTCTACTTCCCCGCGGCATCCGCCGGATCGAATGCTACTCCCGAACGTCGTTTCTCGTCCCACTTTGCATGCTCCTCCAGACGCTCTACAAGCGGCTTGAGAGTAGTTGCGAGCTTGACACTGCTGAACCTTTTCAGCATCCGCCGGACGAGGATCGTCACTGGCACAGCAAGCTCGGGGAAAGCTATGGTCTGCGCACACATCTCGAACCATTCTCCGAGCAGGTAGGCGCTTTCCTCCGCGAGGGCATCTTGGTACAGTCTGGTGCGGACATACGGTGCTGGGACGCAGATGAAGGCTTGCAGGTCGAGCGGACGCTGGGTTGAGGGCTTGGGCTTGTGCGAGAGCTCGGATGATGTGAGCATTTGCAGGATGAAGGGAGAGAGGGGGACGAACACCCCCGTGTGGCGGATCAGGTGAAGGAGGGAACGGACGCAGTGGAGATGCAGTGGGAAGTAGCGGGGTGTTGGAATCAGTCTACGTCCGTTAGATACAACTGAAGGGACCTGAAAGGGAAACTTACTTGATCGCCCCGATCGTCACTTGCATGTAGTGCACTCTCTCCCAGTGCATCCCAATCACACGCCTTGGCGAGGACCCCAGCCCAAAAGCCGAGCGAGTGCACATATTGCCAGTTATAGACAGCCTTGTATGCCTCCTTGCTCTTCACTTTCATACTTTCCCTGAGGTGGACGGCGAGCTGGCGGATATACGGAATGCGTGCTGATACGCCGCCTCGTGGTCGAGGGTGTACAGCTCCATAGCAGAGTTCTTCATGAGGTTGATCGAGGGCAGGTGTGCACCGTCGTTGCCCGTGAAGAGCGGACGAGAGAGACATAAGTCCCTTTCAGGCACATGTCGAGTATACTCTGGTCGGGACTAGCCGCGAGTCGCCGAATAGCGAGGAGCGCAGTCAGGCGCACGTCATCGAACCCGCTAGCAGCTGCTTGAGGTAGTCCTTGACGACTTTCCGGGAAGAGACGATGTATGGGATCACTTTCGTCGACTCGGATAGGATGAGGAGCTTCATGTCGCCGTCTGGAAGCTGGGAGAGGAGGTGAAGAACGTTACCGAAGAAAGAGAGAGTCATCTTCTGCAGGGTGGAGTGTTTCTTCGTCTGTGCGGGAGGTTTGCTGGGAAAATTAGTTGAAATCTTAGACTAGGTGGGAAGTTCGCACTAGCATCTGTCGGGAAGAGTTTTGTAAGGTAAATGATGGGAAAGGACGATCGACGTGTACTTCAACGCAGCAACAACAAGCTTGTTATATACTGCACCGGGTCAGCGGAAGGTAAGAAGAGGGGGAACGACGAACCGGCCGAGCTGCCTATGGAGTACGCATATTGCGTCCCATCTTCTTCATTCATATGTACCGCGACACGGAATGCGAGTAGAAGGCGTCTGAGAGAACGCAGCGAATGGTGCTGTGTAGGTGTGAGCTACGTGAGGATACGCATGGGAGAATTATCCCTCGAGGATGGACCTCTGCCACGCGTGTAGCATCTCCTTCATCACCTCTTTCGCAGTGGAAGGAACGGTGATCTCATCCTCTTCTTCTTCCATCGCGATACCTGCTTCGTCCACTTCCACGTCCACATCTTCAGCATCCTTAATCTCCTCAGGCTCGTTCCCAAACTCCAGCAGCTCCTTGTCGTTCTCCTGCAAGTATTTGTAGAATTTGGGATCCACCTCTTTCAAACTCTCCAAATCCATCTTGTGTGCCTCTTCGTCTGCGTCTAGATCGTCTACAGAGGCGAATGACTCGTTGTCGTCCACTGCGCTGCTGTTGTCGTCCTCTCCTTCAGTCGCCGTCGTCCATAAACTCACCACCAAGTAGATCGTCCACGGTCATTTCGTTCGGTCTGCTAAGCATTAGCATTGCTCTTTGGCATGTGTTAATCCCATACTGGTCATTATCCTCTGCCTCTTAAGTGAGCACCATCCTCATCAACAGCTTTTGCTGTCTTCTCCTCCTCTCCCTGTTTCCCCTTCCCTCTGCGTTTCTCAATCTGCTGCTTAACCTTCTTATGCTTGTGCCTCTGCTGGATCTGCTGGATCTGCTGCTTGAGTTTCCAGAACAGATGAACCTCTTTGTGACCTTTGCAGTTTTTGCCATAGTGTTCTTAGTAGTAAACATGGTCAGGATTCGATGAAATTTCCCCCCAGTCCCACGGGTTCCCCGACATGATACCTGTTATTTTCGTTCCAACCGTCACAAAGTGGTGCGCTTCATAAATTGCGGTTGAAAGAAGTTCGGCTCCGGGTCAACGTCGGAAGCAGTGAATTTTTCACTCACACGGCCTGAATTTTCTGTTACATCCCTTGCCAGCCTTGGACCTCGACCACCATCTGCACCTCGACTAGCCCACCCCGGCTCATGTTCACACAGTCCACAAGGGACGACTATCTCAGTGACTACGTTTACTCTCTGCTCGGTTATTAAACGTATCTGCCCCAATACCCCCTCTCACACAATCAACATGGCGTTTCGAATGATGATCAACTTCCGTGTGCAGGTGCCCAAGTTTGCTAGGGGCATCGTGACCCCAGCAGCGAAGACAGTGCCTGCTGCATTACATCTCAAGACGGGGCAGACGTTTAAAGGACGCTCGTTTGGCGCGGAACGCAGTGTCTGGGGAGAGACGGTCTTCTCCACATCCATTACTTCCTGTATGTGCTGGCACCCTGCAATCAATACGCATCTGACCTCTTTGTAGATACCGAATCTATGACCGATCCATCCTACATGTACCAGATCCTGGTGTTTACCACGCCTCTGATAGGCAACTACGGAGTGCCGAAGAACGACGCAGCCACAGACAATTGGGATGTCGGTGTCGTCCTCGAGTCCAAGGGCATTCAGTGCGCCGGGGTGGTCGTCGCTGACGTAGCGGAACGTTACTCGCACCACGCCGCGGTGGAAAGCATCGGGGACTGGTGCAAGCGGTCCGGCATTCCTGGGATAACGGATGTCGACACGCGTGCTATCACCACTCTCCTCCGGGATCAGGGGACGACACTCGGCCGCTTGGCCATAGGGCAGGATGCGCTCCTCCTCCCTCCGGCGGCTGAAGAGTATTGGGACCCATCATTCGACAACCTCGTTGCCGAAGCGTCAACAAGCGATTCCTACGTGCTCAACCCGGACGGCGACGTCAACATCGCCGTGCTAGACTTTGGCGCGAAGGCCAACATCCTCCGCTCTCTTGTTAGGCGCGGGGCGCGCGTTACAGTTTATCCCTGGAACTTCGACTTCAATACCGTCCGCGACCAGTTCGATGGCATGTTCCTCACCAACGGGCCTGGGGACCCGAAGCACGCCAAAGCCGCTATTGCCAACGTCCGCCAGACACTGAAAGAATGGGACCGCCCAGTATTTGGTATCTGCATGGGGCATCAGATTATCGGCCTTGCCGCCGGGCTCGACGCATACCGGATGACATTCGGGAACAGGGGGCATAACCAGCCTGTCCTGGCGCTTGCGGATAGTGGCAGTATCCGCGCTGGCCGGGTATATGTCACGAGCCAGAACCACCAGTATGCGCTCACATTGCAGGACCCGTTCCCCAAGGGCTGGGAACCGTTCTTCATCAACTGTAACGACTCCAGCGTGGAGGGGATCAAGAGTACTGCTGAGAGCGGTAAGAAGGTCTGGGGCGTACAGTTCCACCCTGAGAGCGCGGGCGGGCCACTGGACACCATAGAGATGTTTACGGACTTTGTTCAGGAGTGTCGGGCGGATAAGGAGGCTAGGAAGGGAGGCCAGGTTGGACTGGGAGACGCGGTTGCCAATGCGGGGCTGTTTGCGGTCATGGGGGGCTTGTTTAGCGAGTGATTAGAGGAAGGAATGTACCGTGAATGAATCTACGTGACTAGCCATACAACAATCCAGCGTGTATTAAAATACAAGTGCTCGACAGGGAATCCACAGTAAGATATCGGCAGTCGTACAGCCGTTCGAGTGGAAAGCACTTTGGGTGCTCTGCACTTCACTCTTCAGTAGAAGGAGGCCAGGTATACTCCCACCCAGCGGTTTTCCATATCCCCACCATCTCCTGAGCGACCTCGATCCAGAACTGCCTTCATCAGCCCCGTCCCACCTTGCTAGAGTAGACAGCTCACCTCGGTGTTCTTCATAGCATGCAATGCCACAGTATGCACATCATGTGGTATGGTACCTCCATACCAGTCCCCCATCCTCGTTTTCATATCCACCACCTTGACGGGCGCTCCATCCGGTAAAGAGGCAAACCACCCCGCGGTGCGAATATCCTCGATCCCCTTTGTCGAGATCCCGGAGAGGGAGGCCGAGCCCAGCCAAGCTACGAGCGGCCAGGAGAGGGCGTAGGCGAGCCCGCGCATGTAGAGCGGGTAGCAGTGCATGCAAGAGCCCCACCATGTGCCCCAGTAGACGAGTTCGGAGCACGACAATTCGGAGAAGGAGGCGAGCACGTTTGGTAGTATGAGGAAGGTCTGCTATTTGTTAGCTGTTGGGGTGCATTGAGGTGAGGGGGCACGCACATCCTGGTCGGCTTTCATTATGAACCTCGGCTGGGCGCCTTCTGGCAGTCGACTCGCCCATTGGAAGAAAGCGTACGTCTTGCCCTCATCCATGTTCTCCTCTATATCGAGGACGACGATATCCCCATGCGCTCTGTGCTCGAGCTGTATGATTTCTGCTTCCTGTGGGTTGGAAGCGTCAGGCTGTCCGAGGATGAAGCGGAAGTCTACAGCTGGGGAGCGGGCGTTCAGCCCTCGCCGCTGAAGAGTGCGCATGACAGCTCGTTGTTCCCAGCTTGAGGCGGTAGAGAAGACCCCCACGAGCAGGAGAGGACCGAAGGAGGGATCGTCTGAGCAGATGTGAGAGGAAGGTGGTGGGACGATGACGAGCGCGGGGAGCCTATCGTTGTGCATGTAGTAGACGTCTTGCTTGGGCCCTGTGAGTACCTCACGGGGAAAGTCGAACTCCCACGTAGGGTTGGGCAGCCATGGACAGATGACGGGCGGGATAGATGGTAGTTCGGAGGGAAGGGGCTGCTCGAGCCAGTCAGGGAGGACGTCGACCAGGGATAGAGAGGATCGATGCTCACCTCCTCATTGTCTATCAGCTCTTCGATGTGCTCGCTGCCATCGTCTGTGAGAACATGTTGATCTCTCCTCTTGAGTGTGTATCGTCCTTGCAGGAAGGACGCGTGTCCAACAAAAGCGACGATGATGAGGATTGCCAAAAGGGCCAGAGGGCGAGAGAGGCGAGGAGAGATACGTGGGAAGATGGACATTTGTCGTCGTCGTCGTCGAGGACGTTGAGGACGTCGAGGAGAAGTGAAGGTAAGAACGCAGACAGCGATCAAAAACTGCCTTCGCTCTGGTAGATATCCACGGTCAGAGTTACTTGGCAAAAGAAGTCAGCGTCAGTTCTGTATCGCCGTCGCCGTCGCCGTCGAATGCAGTACGCTTTCAGAAGTAAATCACAATTGATTGGCGTACTTTCGTCTGTATTTTGATTATAATGCAAACAAATGCATTTCTAGATGGATTTCAATGTTACGAGTTTATATATTGCATTGTGACTCAGTACGTAATAATACACTAATGCCTGCTGCCCGAAGCTGATCGTGCGTCTTCGGGCACGAAAGCAAAGCAAAGCACTGTAGTATACAATTGCAAAAAACTTGCAGAGTGACAAGCCGGACTATGCAGTGACCGTCCCATTCGAATGCGTATGCGCATGCCCGTTGAGGTTCATATTGCCAAATCGGAGGAGCGTATCTGGCGAGAACTTGGTACTGCCAAGAAAATGTCAGCGGTTGTGTTTTCATCCTCGCGGACAAACGCGTACCGGCATGTCGAGCACTCCAACACCGGCTGACAGAATACTTCCCCTCCTGATCAGACTGTTCCCACTCCCAGGTAGCAAATACTCACTAGACAGGCAGACCGAGCACACATACCCGATGTCAACAATCTCCTTATGGCAGAAACACGCAGCGCGGAAATCGACTTTATCAAGAGTGGGCACGGCGAGCGTCTTCCGCGTTTCCGTCTCGCTTAGGAAACACATCTGTTTCTGGTCAACCAACTAATAGATAGGAGGTAGGAGGTGGCGTACTGAGAGGTACTGCAGAAGCGCTTCACGCTGTGTTATGGGTACGAACGCGCCTCCTGTGAGGTGACACGCCTGGTGCAAGAATATCACCTCCGACTCGTCCAATTTGCACACATCGATTGCTACTTTCTACTCTGTGTATCAGCATCCTGTACATTCTACAACCGTTACGCAAAGAGAGACGCACAAGCTTTTGAGCAGAGAATATACAGTTCATAAAGGGGATATAAGCGACGCTGGCGTCGGGAGAGACGGAGAAGAGGAGAATGCGGGAGTGGGGCGGAGGAGGAGGGGCTTCGGAGGGATTTGAGGGGGGTGGGGGGTTGGAGAGGCGGTTGATGTCTGTCCATCAGTTAGCGGATTAGTCTATATTGGGAGGCAGGACATACAGCAGAGAGACTTTGTGAGCGCCCCGACGAGTGCTGGTGGGACTGCACGATGTTAGAGGTTGTAGACAGGGAGAATGAAGACGCACCATCCTCCTCGACCTCCTGCAGGTCCTCCACCTCCTGCTCGACACTCCTCATAAACCCCTCATCCACCTGACCAAAAACATGGAACGTATTCTCGTCTGCTTCTACCTGCGTACTCCCCGCTGGCGGGTAGAGTATCATACTTCCCACCCCACACCCGTTCAGCACAACTCTCACCCAAATGACAACAGGGACAGACCTTCGACCCGGAAGAGCACCGAACACGCTCACGCTGTTCTCGTTCCTCAGCGCTAGGTGGGCATTTATGAACACGAGTGCTTGAGCTAGGAAGTCCTTCAGTCTTAGGGGAGGGGTGGAGTGGGAGAGGGCATCCCAGGGGACGGGGGTGAGGTCGAGGATTAGCGAGAGGTGGGAAGGGGATGACATGCGCCGACCGTGACTGCAAGAGGTCAGGGATGCGTCTCTCTCTCTTCAACCATGATACTGTGCTACATCAAGTCATCGTTATTCTATCTATTTTGTATCCTCTCTTGCCACGCCGCCTGACCTGGCTCCGAATTCTACCTGCTTGGACAAAGCATTATCTCGGATTCCATGCAAGCAGGGCTTCTGCGGGTTCTGCATGTCAGGTGAAGACGAGCACAAGCGCAAGTTAGAAACGCTGCAGGAAAAAGAGCTTGTCATATATTCATTCAGAAACGGCGCGAAAGAATCCAATCATGTACATTGGGAATCGCATACACCTCGTACGAGAAAAGGCAACCTCTCCTTTGTCAGTTGACGACACCGGTGGTCACAGGCTAAAACAGGCACTGCAGGCCGCGGGCTACAAAACATTCAGTTAAATGACTACTGTTCGTCGGGGCACGTACAAGGGAGGTACCAGCTGCGATCGCATCTTCAATGCACTGAGCATCATAAACCACGTTTCCGAACCCGTCTTGGACAGCCTCGACGCAAACCATGAAGCTTGACGCAAGCTCGGTGATGCAGGCTTTGCGTAATTTCTCTGAGTTCGTGCTAGAGAACATGCAGGCGAAAGGTGCTCACTCGTAATGTCACAGCTGCGGGGAAGGACACTTGCATTGGTAGTGCCGATGAAGGGGACAAGCAACGGCAACTCGTGCGTGCATGTTGACGTGGTTTGTTGTTCAATCAAGCGCGACTGCCAAATAGTTGAACATTGCCTAGATTATATACCTTTCAGACAAGGTATCAACTTCAGAGCCTCTTCGATCTTCTTCAGCGCAGAGCACATGCTCTTGAGAGCACGTTGATCATCGGTAGACCAGGAATAGACCTCTCATATGTGACGCCCACGCCCAGGTTGGACGGTGCATAGCACGTCGACATGGGCCTGTCACGATCCATATGCAAAAGTTAACTTGTACAGAAGGATACAGGGGCTAGCAGATCGCCGACATGCAGAATCAACGGGAACACGGAAGCCAGATATGCATGGCGCAAAGCATCCTAACTTGTTGCCCTGCTTCTAGAAAACGATCGGCCGACCGGTCCACCTACGAGCACAGAATTGATAGTTGCAAGACGCTATCCAAGCTCGTGATCTCTATAAAATTAGTCCAGCGAGCGCCTGATTGAAGGGACACATGCTTGATGCAATGGTCACTGGCCGATCCTGGAAGATGATGGTGGAAGAAAGAGACGTGTCCCTGACCTCTCTAGCTCTCACTCTTCGTCAACGTGCACCTTGTCTCGGGTGAAGGAGATCTTTTTCTTCTGCACTAAAATACGCCTTGGAACACCTGCTGAGGATAGCATCGAGGTCGACCAACGTGGAAGGTCGCGAATATGCCCCTGGGCCTATTCGTCATGTGCTGCGAATATCACGGACTGTTCTTGTCATGTGCCGGTCATGTATCTGACTACCCATCGCCTCTTTACCCAAGTTTCGAGCTATCCTCCTGAACGCCAAAAGCATGTCTGCTCAGGAAAGGAGAGGAACCTGCCACATGGACCTATAAGGCTGCTCAGCATCCCAAGTACAAACCAGTGTTTTCAAACTTGCCGGGATGTTCGATGATAGTCCTACACAAGACTGGCTGGAACTTATCATGCTGGCTAGCCTAATCCTCCTTCGGAGCCATGGGCGTAATGACACGCAAGAAAGGACAGTCACTGAACTGAGAGGGAAAGTGGATCTGGAGCGTCTTGTCACCTGGACAAAACCAGGAATCGGCCGTGTTGGGTTGTCATTTGCGAGGCCCCCGACGTCTGAAAGGTATATAAGGGGAGCGTTTGGTCTCCTCAGTGGGTATCTCAAGAATCGTTAACCCACGATGCGCGCCTCGTTCAATCTCACCTCTGTAGCCGTCCTCGCCTTCATCGGCCTGAATGTTCACGCTGCCGCCATTCCCAATAATTGCAACATGCTCTGCACGTCTCTCCTCTGTCTCGACTTCAACGGTGATACCGATGAAACATTGCAACAGCCTGTATCCAGGCCCTCGCGCCTGTCCTGCTAGCATGTGAAGAGGCCTGGGACGACAAGGGAAGGGATATCCTGAAAGATTTCAAATGCCTGAAAGATGGCGTGGTGGCTGCCATGCAGGTGATTCGTATCTAAAGGCGCAAGCATATCATAACCGCTGACACGTCTTCAGCTGGACGCTTGCTTGGACTGCTTTTGACTATGGCGCTTTCAAGTCCCTCACGTACAAACACGATATATGTCTGTACAGTTGTTAATAATGTAAAGGGCCATGTTTAGCTACAATGTACAAGAAATGTTTTTCAGTAGTTGATGAAATGCCACCTCCGTATGGCTCACCTCCGCTCCGCCAGGACCGGTCCCCGCAGTAGCAGAGGAAACGGAGGTCAAGCACTCCAGGAAACAGAAAGTTCCCCCTCTTTTGGCATAGATTGAGGGAGAAGCGACACGAGCTGCTGGGGAGGACGACTTTCGGTGTTGGCCGTATGTAGCTAGCTGCGACCGCGAGAGGAAGTGACGAGCGGCGGTATCGGTGCTAATTATCCGTGTCGAGTTTGCGCCAAGAGTGGCAGTGCAGGACCCTTGCGCAGCCCTGAGGCACCGGAATTTGATTCCATTAGACTATCTATGTAGCCTATATGTATATAGGGACGGATTGGCCTGCCGCTGCAGGCCAATTCATGCCACTTTACCTATTCTCCCCTAATCGACGACTCGACATCCGTACAGTGCTGACTTTGTTCACTCCGTGACGGAAATGAAGACACTGTACGCGAACCCCCGCACAGGCACGCACGGAATCGTAGGCGGCCTGAAGGCCGAGTCCGACTTTCTGCTCAATTGATGGTTCCTCTACCAGCAGATCCTCGTGTGTGAGAACTTCCAGGTCCGTATCCGCTGGAGGTTGACTGGTACAAGGTATGTGAGAAAGCATGCTCGAGTGAATACAATATACGCCAACAACCATCTTGCGATCATCTGTTTGGAACTCGTGTTCCGCACGAACGAGAGCATCGCTAGCATAGGCGGGATGTTCTTCTCAACGTTTTTCGGAGGAATCGATTCGAGCTGGGCGACGCCGTTGCAGCAGCACACGTGTTATTGAAATGTGGAACTCTGGACGGGGACATCAAGCCACAACAACGGCAGCGGCCTCACTTTCGGAGCTAGTGGTGTTTTTAGTCCATTGCGATGCAAGAACGAGGAGGTTCATGGGAGCAGCCGTGGTTCGACCTGGTGGCTCTCCTCACGACATCAATCTTGGGTATTTTCATGTTCTCACAGGTTTGGGATTGCTTGATCGATACACGAGAGTAGTACACCACATCTCGTCACTTGATTTTACCTGTTTTATAACCCAAATTCATATCGTCGTCAACTAATTTACATACAATGACTATGGGATACATGAAAGATTCTGGACTAGATCACCTAGAAGCCCGCAAGGCATCGATAGTCGTCTCCAATACCTCAGCTTTGCGCATCTTTTCCAGCAATTCGTTCTTCAATTCTTTGTTCTCCTCTTCCAGCTCCCCCATCCTTCTCGTCTTATGTGCATTTGATCGTTCTGCTGCCAACAGCTTGCGTTCCAGTCGCTCAATACGATCCGGAAGCCCGTTCAGGATCATAGAAGCCGCACGCAGGTCTGCTATCCTAACTTCATGCGAACTGCTCAGATGAGACGGTGTATTGAATGTTGAAGCAGGTGCTGTTGATGTTGCAGATGGCGTATCAGGAATCCCGCGAACGTTGGACGCTGTGACATGGAAAGGGTTGTTCTGCGACCATGATTAGTGATACATCAAGAACTAAGAACAGATATGCGCACAGGATCATCCTGTATCGACTGCCACGTAGAACGACTTGGACTCTCCTGGGTTTTGTGTTGCGGAGTGAACTTCAGCTTCTTGGATGGACTCCCGCTAAGCAACTCCTCCATGCCGTCATCCGACTCTATGGTCTCATCTGCGGGTCGCTTGGTCGGGCTGGACTGAGACGGAGGCGACCCCAATCTTCGACCCGAATCGCTTGCGAATCGGGTTGTTGTTTTGGGAGTGTATGAGGTGCCCGCCGCTGTCGACTGAGAGGATTGTGGTGAGCTACCGGCCATCAATTGATCTTCCCACTCTGATAAGTTGCATCAGCATAGACCAAGTCCGAAACCAATCACAGCGTACTGAAGAACTTGCATGGAGCCTCCTGATTGTTGCATTCTTTGTGATACTGGTAAGCGAAACTTTGCTGGACGAGGATGCTCGATGACTCACTGTAGAACCATCGACCCTTGTTCGCATCCGTTTTCGCCTGCAATCTGATCGCAATATCTCCATGGAAGCATTTCACCGTTCCATTATCTTGAAGACCAGACTGTACGCGCGTTGTCATGCCTGTACTTGTGCGAGTTCTCAAAGTGGACGCAGTGCGTGATCTAAACATTACGATACAGACTAACGGCTCCTGGCTGAACGTCTCTTCTAAGCTTAGTTTTGATCCCGCCCCGTCGGCACTTGGCTCACCGAGGCCTCTTTTCCTTTTCTCCGCAACTTATGCATATGTCTTCATGTTTTTTGACATAATGGAGCTCCCAGGATGAAGTGTGATGGGTTTCAGCCCATTATACAATGAAGAAATAAAATTGGCCGTAGTGAGGAGCGTAAGATATATCGGTCGCCACCCGATTCTTATTAACCAATGGCGGCACCTACCGGTTGGAACTTTAGAAACCAAGAGTTAACTGGTAAACATAATCTATTTCCCAGATAGCCGAAGGTAATTTAATTTCAGGCAGGATAGAATTTACATGTTTTGCTCAGGGGGGTTGAGAGTAATTGTTACAGATGATGTCATAACGCACAACTAAGTGCGTGTAAGAGTTGTCAAATAACTCTGTGTCTTCGGAGCTCGCCCGGCGAAGTCCTGACATTTAAAACGCTTCGGAAATATCCAAAATTTATACGCTTTTGAATGAGTTAGTAAGATGATGATTGACTCGGGCCAGGAGGATGGAATCGTCTTGCATCGTCTTCCCAACCAATGGGCCTCCTACGCGCACGGTCTTCAATACGCTGATTTCTTGGTCTCGCTTGGTCCACCATTAATGTTCAAGGGGTGCTTCAGTGAGCGAGTATTTCTTGTTGTGTGCTTCCACATATTGTGCTTTTTTCTGTCCAAAGCCACCGAAGGGTGAGGATATATCGACCGTGGCCACGTATGTAGATTCCAAAGAACACTTTCATTGGAAAGCAGTTTTGTTTTCCCGGATCTATGACCAAAATAATGGTATCGTAGAGCACTGCATGGAGGCCCCAAAGGAGCCTCTCTTTGAACGGCGGGCTCCTCATGAAAGTGCTCCAAAATGTTCTCACAGCATTTCAGAATGAGTGTAACTGTTTTTCTCTGTTCCCAATTAGCACATAATCGTTTTGTAGTAATTGAACTTACCTGCAATTGGTGCCCTCGCCGGCCGAAGTAAAATGTTGAACATTGAGATTGGCAATATTCGGCCATCATCCGTTTTCCCCAGCTTCGGTCTGCGATAGAGAAAAACGTCTCCCGCCGATAATATGGCGGAGAGTGCCCCATTTCAGGCAGGACTTCTACTCTGAATACGGCCTCGACTCGGCCCTTGCCAGCTCCTTGGAACAAACCGAATCATTTGCGAGCCCCCGAGCATTCCAAGGAGGGGCAGTGATCGGGCAAGGGTGACAATCCTCATGCTGATGTCCCGTACAAGGAAAGGTCCAAAGATGATCCCGCAGTCAGAGGCCGTGTTGCATAGAAGGCTGGGTTAATACCAGACTGGTCCGGCCACCGGACCGCCTGCTGACGACAATCTCTGTTGAGGATTATTCACGAGTACTTGGGCGGTGACCATGTGGGGAGCGAGGGATGAATGCCGTTATGGCCATGCCTTCAATTGTCGGAGGTAACAAGGTCCCTCCTCCATGAAGTGAAAACGGCCTCGTCAGCTGAATGGTTGCACGCCCCCATAGATTACTCCATCGCTTGAGACACGCAGTATTACAAGAGTCAGGGGTCAAGCCTCGAAAACTGGAAATTATTGTCACACAAGCTTAAATAGCCCCGAAAGTCGTCGGTTTGATACGAAAGCCGACTGCCACGGACCACCGCTGATGAGAGCCTTATATCGGATTGATGCATGAAGGTCATTGTTGTGAGAAACGCTCTGCCGTAAGTTCCATCTCTGGAAACATACCAACAGAATCAGCTCCCAGAGTTTCTCCTTGACAATGCGAATATCATCAGCTTTGCTGACTACCGGAATGCACATTATGGTTGCGAGGTTACGGTGCTGGGCGGATCTGTCGGGGAGCCCAGACGAGGAAACAGTAGGAACCAATAGCATCTTCCGGAACCTGAAGCGCCCGCCAACCGCCTTTCGGCTTGCCGGCAGCAAAGCGGGTAGCGCTGGGCAGGCACAGCTTTTGTATAGATAGCTGTGAGGACCACCTGGCTGCCCCACAGATTTAGATGTGCCTGTTCGGGAAGGAAATTCTACCCGCTATTTTGCCAGTGATGAACGAAGGATTGCATGAGGTCGTCATCCAGTAATCGTAATCGGGGGGTTGTGAAGGGATTTTGGAAGCGACACGGGAAGTGATGCAAGGCGACCTTTTTGCTGGCGGGAGGTTATTTCTAGCATCGTTTCAGCAGGGTAACAATTTCTGACGGACAGGATATTGGAAGAACAGGTCTCCGTTGCCGGGAGGGGAATCGGGGAAATCACGTTCGGTGCACTCCGTCCAGCGCTTGATGGACCCGCAAGGCCGTGTTCACCCGGTCCGCAGATGGCGATATGATCGGGTTTCCACGTTTGACATCTCTGAGCAATATTAATAAGCACTAGGCAAGATGCGGCAGAGGACAAGGAACAAAGGGCATGCGATCTTCGCACCTCGGGAATTCGCTGCATGTCCGTGCGTTGGCGCTCGAGCGATGATGATGTTGATGGAGACGAACGTGCAGGAATCGGGGCTGATAATGACAATACAAAGCAGACAGGATAAAGATCGGGCTGTGTGGATTGTCCTGGTTCTTCTTCCAAGAATGCACATAGTAATCGGGCCTCACGTGTGGACAGAGGATATCGGAAAAGAAGGGAGGATTGGAACCCCAGGGGGTCCTGCAATCCGAGAAAGATCGTCCAGCGTCTCGACGTCAAAGACCGATAGGCCCACTGGCATCAGACAACAGAGCAGAAGAGGACCGACATGCCAAACTGGTGGTCAGACAGCGACTGCGCGCGCGACACGTGTTTCGAACGCCTCACTTCGCCGCAGAACGAAGATGTCCAGCGGGTTGGTGGTCGGAATGCTTCTGAGAGAGAACCGCTGGGAACGTCCTGCGTGTCTGGGTCGAACCGCTGCTTATAGGCGGAGGTTGAACGGGATGCTTGGTACCCAGACATGGGCAAGGCAGCGTGTGCTGGCAGCTTGCTGTCCTTCCGAGCGAGCGCTGGGGGGGTCGCCTACGTTGCATGTTTGCCAGCAGAGTGTTCGCTAGCCCGGGTTATCAATACTGCTTGCGAAGGATTGCGTTCGGCTCAACTCTCTCCTGGGAACGATGACGTCTGGGGGTACTGCCAGGCACGTCAGATCGCCGGTGGAGGGGAATCAGGCCTGCCCCGCAGAGGCAGCGGTCCAGGAGAGGTCAGAACTCCGTGGGGCCCGCGATTCGAGTTCCGGTCCTCCCTCGGGCGTGTGAACACCATTCTCATCAGCGTCGACTAGGGCAGTGGGGCATGGACAAAACCAGGCCAAACAAGTTTTGTGCCCAAACGTTTCGAGCGCTAAATACACGGCGTCTAAGAGGTTAGACGCTCAGCCCAGAGGCGGTAAGCGCTCTTGTGGTTCGCGGCAGCTTTCGGTGGATTAAAGCTTATTGATCATCGAGACAGACGCTGGCGTCCTCAGGGATGATGGGATGACAGCAAGAGTGCCAGCATTACTGAAGATGGGACTGAAAAGGCGCGGAGGTGTCGGAAAAGAAGCAAGGTGAAGTGAGCGCGTGATTTTCGTGGGCGCGTGTTCGTCGGTGATAGCATAGGAATGATCAGATAAACAGTTCAAGCCGGCGCCCGATCACGGGCGCTCCATGTGCGGCTCGCACAGCATTGATTGTGCTGGCAGAAAAGAGGAGAAAAAAAGAATAGAATTGGAGTGCTGCCGTGCGCGAGTCTGATCAGCGGGCGACGTAGCGCTGATCGGCGCGCGTCAGAAGAGGAGGAATTCTACGAGCGGGACCGAAGAGGGGTTGCGGTCGATCATGAATGTATGGATATGGATATGATTTAACCCATTGTCATTTGATTACTGTGGGTTGCTGGACTACAGCGGCATTGATTGACGACGGGAGGAGGGGGGGGGAACTGCGCAGCAGGCGAGGGATTACGGAGAGGGCGGGACGGGCGGTTATCGGCGAGCGCCCAGAAGCGGAAGAGGAAATACGGTAATCGGCCGGGATTTCATATTAGACCCCTAATTGATTCCGTGTGGATGCGCGCTCGGCAAGATGCATCTTTCGGTCTATCGTTTTTCACCAGCCTTCGAATGCGGACCTTCCACGTCTGTTGTTAGGAAGCACGCCGGTAGGGGGAGGGAAAGATGGGATGATAACACACATGAGAGGCAAACGATTGGGCAACCCGGACGTAAGGACGCGCCGAGTGTGGGCGGCAGAGGTGAGGAGGGATGTGATCTGAACCGTTAGCTCGGTGCTTTATTTATTGCGGACAAGCTATGGGCGCTCCTGCCGGGGATAGGCGCCTGCCAAGTGCGGGTGGGGTGCCACACCAGGGACGCTCAGGGTGAAAATTGGCCCCGTGTGCAATCCGGGGGCAATAGGACTCGAGACACCGCTGGACACCACAGGGCGCTCGTCTTTATTGGGAGGGGGTGGAATGGGAAGAGGGATTTCAATAGAATGATATGGTCGAAGTTGATATGCAAAAGGATGCCATAATTTTGTGTATTTGTTTCTATTCGGTTGTCAAGGGGAAAGAGCGGAAAGGGAGAAGAAAGGAAGGAAGGGTTATAGAGGGAGTGTTCTTCATCCTAGGCGCCCGAGGGGGGGACAGGAGGATTATTTGATACAAGGGCGCTTTACGGGGGTCATAAGGGTTAATTCTTTCACATTATTATTGGCATAGTTATTATTATTATTATTTATTATTATTTGGTTATTAGTTGTATGTTATCCCAAGTTAGTATACTTTTGATGTGCTCTTTTTATCCGCCCGGGCGCTCACCTTGCTTCTCTCGGCTCGAATCTCCCACCATACCTCGAACTCTGCATGATTTCTATTTAGTCCCTCACTCCCCTCAAACACTCCCAGTTTCCCCTTGCTGCATCTCCCGCTCAACCTCACAATTCATATAGCCGCCCGTATTCCCCCCTTGCTCCCCCCCACCTACTTCCCCCCCTTCTCCTCCTTCCCCTTCCCCCCTTCACCTTTGGGCGCTTAATGGCCCTGCAGATAGCACACACCAACGGCGTATCACCAAACGGTCCCCTCCGCCCTCTGGCGCCGGCGCTCGAGTCCGTCGTATCATCCGTCATACAGGGACCAGTCGCCTCCCCTCCAATGCATCACACGCCCCGTCCAAGGGGTGAATCACCCGCACCATCACAAAGGCCTAGCCACGTCATCAGGAAAGGGAAACGGTCTGAGGCCGTCGCCCGAGAAAAGACCGGCTGCTGGTCATGTCGTATTCGCAGAAAGGTACGTTGCTCATCACGCACTGTACCCACATTTACAACTTATCTCTATCGTAGAAATGTCATGGCAAGGAGCCGGGAAAAGATGACTGCTCAGACTGCCTCAGGCTAGGAATCCAATGCCTGGGCTGGGGAGAGAAACGGCCTGAATGGCTAAAGGTGAGCTTGACCGATGTTCCCGACGCTCAGGGGTCTCATTCGGTGCAGAAATCAGTCGAGGAAAAAAGAGAACAAATTAAAATGGACCTCCTAGCGAGGAACATGATCAAAGGCCAGCGAAAGGGTGGACTGAGCTCACCCAATGGGACGCTGGACGACAGCGAGAGCCCACCTCCCTCTCTGCCTGCCGTGTATGGAGGACCAGCATCGCCGTACTCCCGATCGCATGGGTATAGCCGCCATCCAGGTGCATACCCGACACCGCCTTCCACGCTGTTTGGCACTGCTCCTCCGCTCCCAGGACAGAACGGCATGGTCCTCCCTCACGCGACACGCATGGAGTCGCCCGAACCGATGCTGGGAGGGTTGAGCTCCGACTCTTCGTCCACTACAGCAGTGGACAAGACCTCCCCCGGTCTGCCAATGCTCGCTTATCCCAACCAGTACTTCCCTCCCCCAGTACACAGTACGTCCTCAACCCGCACCTCCAGCTCCGCTCATGGAGATGCAGTCCCCGGCTCAGGGGCCACGCAATACGACCGCGTGCATCTGGAAGCAGTCGCTTCCGGCACTGCGCTCAAATCTGAGCCGCCGACGATGGCCTGGGGTCATCGACAGGCGGACAAGCTCCTCCAGAACATCAGCGATAACGGTTCTGACTCGGGGATGGAGGAAATCTCGCTCGAAAAATCCAAGTCTGAATCGAAGGCACGAGCCCCTCCGAAGCCTGAGCCGACCGAAATGTCTCTCGCTACCTACCGCTCTATTGCCAGCAACAAGCTGGACGAAGAACAGTGGCGCTGGCTTACGCACTACGATAAGGAAGTCCTTCCGATGCAGTTCCTCCTGCACGGACCCGAGACCCGCCAGCTAATGCTCAACGTTGCCCTCGCTTCTGAGCCGCCATCTGCCATGCTCTGCCTTGCGGCAGTACACCATTACCAGCTGCACCCGAACTACACTCCTACGGCAAGGGACAAGTACTGGGTCTCCGCAGTGACGTCTCTCTCTGAAGGCGTACGCTCACCCCAAGATGCTCTCACAGCGCTGCACCTTGTCTCTGTCTCCCTCTTCAGTGGCTGCCAGCCCGAATGGGCCCCGTTCGTCAACATGGCCCGCAACTGGTGTCAGAGCGCCTTTCCCGGAACCGACGGAAATGCCTTCCGCCGTGCGCTCATAGGTGCCGACCCTCTCACACAGTTCGTATCGAAGACCACGTTGTGGATGGACATCTTTGGTGCTATTTCCACACAGACTGTACCGAGGTTCTTGAGCTGGTACAGGGCGCTCATGAAGCCCAAAGGGGTAGACATTAATGGCGTAGAGCTGGATGCGATCGGCATGTTCGTTGATGTTACAATCATAGCATGCGCATATATTGATGATACTTGTGATTAGGGACAAGCTTATGGGCTGCGACAACGAAGTCATGCTAGCCTTTGCGGAGATCGCTGCGCTCGACGCATGGAAGCTCGAGCAGCCTACAAGCTGGAGCAACTTCCTCCTCGTCGACATGGCTACGAGGATCAGCAAGGAGCTCTTAGACTCTGCGCGCCCGGTCATGCCCCCCCGAGCCGCAGCGGGTGTGTCAGACGAGGTATTCATGCGCAAGCAGATGTCCGCTGTTTTCCGCGCATCGGCAAAGATCTACCTGCACACTGTCGTCTCCGGGTACAGGCCCGCCGTGCCCGAGATCCAGCTCGCTGTGGCAGAGACGATTGCATGTCTGAAAGCGATCAATACCGAAAAGAAGCCCTACGACCGGTCCCTCGTCCTCCCCCTCTTTATCGCTGGGGTGATGACTGATGACCCCGTCCAGCGGAAGTTCATCGAGGGCCGGCTATCAAACATCAAAGACCTGAGCGTGGGTAACTGTGCCCAAGTGCTAGCACTCATGCGCCGCGTATGGCAGAAACGAGAGACGGACGGAGGGGAGGTCAGCTGGCGGGAAACGATGAAAGACATGAACATGTCCCTGCTGTTTGTATAACCCCTTCCTGGCTGCACCTGGACCATATTTTGCTTTTGTTCTGGTTGGGGCTCGCCGTCGCTCGATCCGCCGTGCTTGTCTAGGCTCACGAGTGGGTACCTCCTGCCTTGCGCTCAATCGGCGCCGCGCTTGGGGGGGACGGGCAATAAACTACACCTGCGTTCTTAGACTAGCTTAGCTGTTTTGCACGCCTTTGAAAGCCTAACTAGTGGTCGACACTTTTTGTAGCGATATGTATCACAAACATTGCATCGAACCAAATTATATTAAATGGACTTGATTTTTATTAGTGACATGGGATGGCACGAAGTTGTCGAGCGTGTCCCTTACTGGCTTTGATCAACCATGTTCGATCCAGACTTTAACCGTGCCGTGAGCAGCTACAGCAGCACCTCCCAGCCAGCTGCAAGGCCCTCCCTGCAACGCCGAGCACCCGCCATCCCCAGCCTGACCTTGCAGAAACCGCAGCAGATCACGGTAGAAGAATGGGAGAACAAGGCGCCGTTGGATGAGCGCGAAAGGAGGAGCGTCGCGCGGCTGAAGGAGATCTGCGAGAATAGGCCATTTCCTGCAAAGGTATGCTATGTCTATCTCTTAGTGAGGCATAATCACCTATGGGTTGGTAGTTCGCTTCTGAGACTGCTGTTAGTACGCGTCCTGGCACGCCGAGCCGCCAATCCCCCTATCCTGCCGGTTCACCCCACACCCCGGCCGGTGCACCCACCTCCCGCTTACATCCCTCCGCCTATCCTCCCTTTACGACCGCTGTAGCATTGAACGACTACCTCGACGTGATCAACGCGTCAATCGAGCATGAACAGGAGGCGCATTATCGATCTTTCCTGCATGAACTCGACGAGTATATCGATACTTGCAATGCTATCAACGAGCGACTAGACAGCGTCGAGCATGACGTGCAGAGCATGCTGGAGAGTTGGAGGTCTGTTGAGTCTGGGTCTACTCGGATCCAAGGTGCGAGTGAGCAGATGCTGGAAGAGAGGGTACATTTCGCTATTTGCTCGAGAGGATCAGCGCTGACGAGTGTTCAGGACCGCCTTGTTGCTATAAGTGAAGAGCTGTCTTTCCGCTTAGAATATTTCCAGCAACTGGAAGAGGCAACAAGGATGTTGAATCATCCTGGCGAGTCGTTGGTCCTCCAGACGGAGTTCCTCCATATGATCGAGCGCGTCGACGTCTGCTTCGACTATCTGACTACACATGTACGTGTGATTCTGTCCTATTAGGAAGATCTCTCTAATCGATCCTATTTCATAGAGACACTTCAAAGAGGCAGAGCTGTATTTGCTTCGTTTCCAGCAATGCATGACCCGGGCCATGACACTCATCAAGATGTATTTTGTGGGTATGCTCAAAGCCCTGCAGACCGACGTACAGACCCGCTTGGCAAACAAAGACATATCCGATATTGCACAACATCACTTGCTATATTCTCGATTCCAGTCCGTTTCTGCGCAGGTCGTACCCTTGTTGCGAGAACTGGAACGACATGCCGCCTTGCATCCTGAAGACGTGTCGTCGTTGCTGACTGAATGCCACACCGCTTATTTTACCGTAAGGCGTGGCCTGTTAGTCGGCCGGATCATCGAGGAGATCAAAATCCTTGACCCGGAGAGAAGTGAACTTGTTGAGCTGGTAAGTCCTGCCTCTTGCTCGGCAACCATCCGCGCCTGAGACCTCACCAGACACGTGCTGGGTGCAGCTATCTCAAACTGGTCTGTACGAATGAATTTGACTTGTTCAGACTGTTCTTCACATCCGGAGAAGATGCTATCTAGTGAGAGAATATTCGGTCGTTTGTCTCCTCAAATTCTGACTCTCCTGTTCCCAGTCGTTATCTAGAAGGCCTTTGTGATTATCTCTACGATGATCTTCGTCCCCGAATTTTGCACGAGCCTCGCCTGCTCACCCTTTGCAGCGTTTGTACTGTCATACAAGCATTAATGGTCATGGATGTGGAAGTGCCTCCAACGGGAGCGAGCATTGAGATGCATACCGAGCCACCTGCTGAGGACCCTCTAGCCCGATTGCAAGTCTCACATCTGCTCCAGATGGTGCTACAAGACGCACAGACGAGACTCCTCTTCAAGGCGCAATCCGTTCTGCAGAGTGATATTGGATATTATGCTCCCAAGCCAGGTGATTTAGAATATCCGGGAAAGCTTCAAAGTACGTACCTTGCCTTTCTGCCATAGACGCATTCTCATCACCAAGATCAGACGTCCAAAACCCCGAAAAGGAACAGTCGCAGTCCATTGTTCCACAAACGGAGCAAGATTCTGATGCCCTCTTCCGATTGCCCTCGCAAGCGGTACAGGACACGTGGTATCCGACCCTGAGCAAGACCATCTGGATCTTAGCTCTGCTGCACGATTTTGTCAAGCCGGCTATATTCCAGGATATCGCACAAGAAGCAATAGGCCTGTGTCGACATTCACTCTCAGCAGCTTCAGATCTTATTGCGGGACAAAGCGAAGCTGGTCAGCTTGACGCCCTCCTTTTCTTCGTTCAACATCTTTTGGTTCTAAAGGAGGTTGTTGCTAGTCTCGAGCTCGATTATGTGCGCACAGAGCGTGGCATTTGGGTGGATGGTGTGACAGAAACACTGGGAACTCTTTTACGAAGCACTTCGTCTTTGCTGCGTCCGACGGCGATATTCAGCAGGCGTGCGCAGAGCAACATTGTGATGTCAGATGCCGCGGATCCGAAGATCGTAAGTCCAGCCACTACTTGAAGATGCCATGGATCTGACTGTTTGCCAGGCCATCGATAGTGATCTCAAGCGAGTATGTGAAGATATCATTTCGATCTGCACAGACGAAGCAATTGCTCCGATACGAGCGTTCCGAGAGCGTCTTGCCAATCACACCCGCACAAAAGCTGGTACAGCCTCAGCTGCTCAGCAGGAATGGGGCAAACCAGCCGCTCTGCTCGAAATCGATGCCAAGTTCAAAGAAGACTGTTCCTCCGTCATCAGGAAATGGATTGATCACCTGGAGCTGTATCTTCAGGATCCAGCTACTGTGGCTGTTCTCGTTCCTCCTATGCAGGCACGGATCGTTGAGGAGTACCGAGTCTGGCGAGATCTTGTGCGGGATGAATACGAATGGGGCACCGCGGACAAGCTTATGAGAGAGCCACAGGTTTGGGATTTCGTCCGGGAAGCAACGGGAGAGCCGTACGGACGTCCTGCTTAGTCTTTGGGCGGAATGTAGGGGAGCATGGGTGGGGTGAGATCGAGGATGGGCGACGGCCACTGCGACGCACTTTCCTATTCACTTACTCAGTTTTTCAAGAGCAGGAGATCAGGGGCAAGACATCATGTGGTTATTGCAGCTCAACTCAAATAATGGTATTAACCTGGCACATCATACATGATCGAACTAATAATAACATGGAAATCAAAGTTCCTCTAATGTACAGTCCTTTCCATCTCAGAACGTCCCCATCCCCGCTCACTCCCAATCGCTATCCTCGCTATCCTCCTTCTCTTCCTTCTTGCTCTCCTTAGCCTTCCCTACACCCGCATCTGTGCCAGTAGCGCTGTCGGTACCGACAACGTCGAAGCTGTCGTCGCTGCTCTGACGGGGGGAAGGCGCGCCAGAGGAGAGGGCGATGACGCCCGCGCCTGCTGGTGTGCTTGTCCCAGATGGGGGTGCAGGCGCCGCTTCGAAGGAGGAGGATGGGCGAGGGGTGACGGTGCTCTCGGGGAGGGTGAGGGTCGCGGTGGACGCGGCTGCTGCAGCAACGGTCGTCAGAGCGTTGGTGGAAGGTTCTTCATCATCGTCCCAGCCAATTTCCTCTTCTTTCTGTGTGGTGGCAGCGTCTAAAGAAATCGTCAAATACGCGTCGGATGTGCTGGGAATGCTCATGCTCATACCATTGAGAAGAGCCTTCCGCCTCTCCTCATCGCGCTCAATCTGATACACTCGGAAGAAGTAGCGCTTCCAGAACGTCTCTTCGTCCAGTTCTCCGGGCACTATATTCCTGTCAATCAACACGGACAAGCATTGCGGTGAGATGCCTACCCAAGGAGTCCTTCGTTTCTTTGAGCTCCCCTGTCTCCTGGCCCTCGACCTTCTCCTTCCAATCCTCGTTCCAATGTTCCGTTCCCCAGCTCTCCCACTCTGCCGCGCTCCTCGGCTCCGCGGTAGGGTCAACCCTCAGCACGCCCGGGGTTCTCCTAAGCTGGGCAAGAAGCACTTCCGCTCTCGTCGTTGGCACCTTCATATCCCCCGAGGAGCGCGCCGCGCTCGGGCCCGCTTGGGAGGAGGCAGAAAAAATCTCCTCCCTCCTCTCCCCATTGTTCATGCTGGCACTCAACCCAGGCAGCTGCCATAGATCCGTCCCGTCCCAGACCATTCCCTCTGCATAAGCTGGGTCGTTCGGCACGTTCCTGACTGCTTCTTTCAAAAAGTCTTTCGTTTCCTTATACAACGCCTCGCCCCGCACGCCCGCATCCTTGAGTATCTGTTCGCCCTTGTGCGCGTACTCCTGGGCTACAGCTTCTATGCTGTTCAGGTCGGCAGAGAAGGTCGTCTGGAAATGATGGTACTGGGTGGTGATATCCCGACTAAGCGCTGAGAGGGACGCAGAGGTTGTAGGTGGGATGGCGCGTGCGATGTTGGATGGCAGAGAGGCTTGCAGGCGGTCGAAGAGCGTGGCAGTGGCCGCTCGCGAACGCGGGGTTGTAGTCGACGTGGATGCTTCGCCTTCAGCGGGTGCAGCCGTGGACTCGACAGACGCTGATGCACTGACAGCAGGCACAATGTCTTCAGCGGCACTTTCTGCACCCTCAGAAATCGCATTGGTATCGCTCTTCTCTTCAAGAGCAGACTCGGGAGTAGTCACTGTGGGAGGTCGACTGAGCTCCTGAGAGATACGCTGAGACGCCTCCTGTCCGAGCTTTGACAGCTCCGTCCTCGCCTGGCCGACAACAGAGGTAAAGTCCTTCTTAGCAAGATCAAACGCACTTGCGCTCTACAAGTTCATCAACGACCTATCCAACCACTGCGAAACGTGACCTCGTACCTGCTTGCGGAACCCGCCCCAGAACTTGCCAAGCTGGCCAACAACTTGCTGTACCTCTTCCTCCAAGCTTTGTTGTGGTTGACCTGCCCCTTCTGCCTCTGGAGGTGGTGTACTGGCAGCTGGATTGAAGAAGAGATCGGTGTTCATGATAGATGGTGGTCGTCGAAAGGAATGCCTTGTTGAGTGGGTAAGAAGGGACTGTATGAATGATGTGATGCGCCGTATCATGGAAGCAGATTTGTGGCGTTCCTTCACAAGTTCATTGAACAAGAACAAGCCACTTGTTTGTCTTCTACAATGACCATCTACTCTTCGTTAACTGTTGTGCTTACCGAGTGCTGTTGTGTATATGGCCTTGTATTTGAGAGCTACGCGGCGACATTTTAAAGAAGCCTGATCTTCGATGGCTCTCATGATGTCCAACACCCTCAGTCGTCCTCGAACGGCTCCGAGGAGTCATCTAAATTGACGTACAACCTCGGTCAATGCGCGCAAAGTGGTCCATCACCCAACGGAAGCTCAGTGCCTCTTCTTGGATTGTACTCGAACAATGACCCATGTCTACCCTAGTTGTGTCTTTTGGCTCCTGTTCCATTTGGCTGCTGTACGAGGTCAAGCACTGCTTCAGTGGGATACGATCATCCCCCGAGAGACAATATAATAGCAGATTCTTGCTCTAGGACTTGTGGATCGTCGTTCTTTCTTGTCCATCGGCCAAAGTGTAAACATGTCACAGGACCGGCTGCTCCTGTGCGGTCCTAGGACGAGCCCTTTCTAAGCCTCCTAGCTGTCGGGTCACCTCAACCGAACGAAGGACTGAACAATCCCTAACTCCTTGCACATCATGTGATCTCCACCACGCTTGCGCTTGCAAGTTCCCAAAGGGGCCAATCAAAAGCCAACCTGCTTCTACCAACACCCCCCCTCCCTTCTAAGCCAACCGACCGCAACCCATCTGGGTCAAGTCAGCCCCAACCCCAACTCCGGGACCCGCCCAACCCTCCAAGGTGTCCAAGCTGCCGTGCCGTACTGCGCTGTCCCGTCCCATCCTGTCCTGTCGAGCAGGTCCAGCCTTGCTAGGGTCTCCCGGACCGGGACAGGACCCTCCGACCCTCTTGCTTGTTCTCACATAACAAGCAGCATTGCCGACCTGCAGCCTTCCATTCCAGCCAGAATATCACCCTTCAACCTAGGCACTGACCAGACATATGACTCCTCCAATTAGGTGGAGGACGGCACAAAACGGACCAAAACGGAGCAGGCAAAGGCGGGGCACATCAATACTCCGCGCCTACTGTCTGCCTTGCTGAGGAAAGAATAGGCTTCCCGCTCTATCCACCTTCTGCCGGGCCCGTTTCCAACTTTGTACGTCAGGTCTGGCGTGCGCTGTAGCTGGGGTGGATGATTGTCAGGTCCTGAATTGTTTCGCAGTATGATCAGCGACAGGCCGTGTACAGTGCCCTGCTCAGAGCACGCCCTGACACTAGTTAGTGCTCTCGTTCCCGTTCCTGTTGCATTTCTCAGCAACGCAACGCAACGCAACCAAATCTCCAGATCTCTCCCATCCAGCAAGCGACCGCAGCCCGTACACATCCAACTCGAGGCCTTGCTGTCCCACTGCACGTGCACACACACACACACCATCTCCTACAATCATTCCACAACATAACATAACATGACATAGCAACCTCTCCCCTCCTACTCAGGGAATCACAGTACAAGCAAATCAACTCCCCTCACGTAACATGTAATGTAATGTAATGAACGTAGTGTAATGCCCGACGCGACTAGCCCCGCAACACTGGACTAAACTTGTTGCAGGGTCCGGAAATGCGGAAACGGAAAAAACCCAAAGTGCTACGGTAGTGCTAGTGGTACCGGTAGCGGTACCGGTAACGAGGTGACGCCTCATGCAGCTTTCCCTGTTTTTCTTTCTTTCTTGATTTCAGGTGCTATGGTATTCTGGTACTATGGTGGTACTATGGTGGTGCTATGGTGCTATGGTGGTGCTATGGTACTACGGACGCTCGCGACTGCTACGTACGTTACTCCATAGTGCACCTCGATACACAGTACCGACGTACCGATACCCATGGCCACAGGTCGACCTATTCCGCCATATGCGTGCGTAGTACGTACTAGTTCGACATCGTGCCCGATCGTCCCACCAACCCAACACAAAGCTAGTCTGCACCCCACGGGCCTTACATCCTCCGGAGCCGGGTGCTCCAGTTCCCGTTCCCATTCTTTAGGACACTACTCTTCCCATTCTGTTCTCTTAGAGCCGGGCAAGCCCAGAGAAAGGGATCCGACAAACCCGACCTCCTTTTAAACAGCGGAGAGGAGTAGAACACCACAAGGATATTAATAGCACACCGAGGATACCGAAGATCGCAAGGATAGAGGATAGAGGATAGTAGACAGCCATTCCCATTTCTCTTTCCAGATTAGTACATCCTACACTGAGACACTATACTGCCTTAGTCACTAGTGTACAGCAACAGCAAAAGGAAGACAACAAACAGCAACAGCAACATCAACACCAACACCAACACGAAAACCGGACACGGACACGAACGAAACAACACGAAAAGATATACAGCCAAAACAGAAACAGAAACAGAAACAGGAAAAAGTCCGGTTCCTGCCTACTCCTATTTAGGAGTCCATACAGGTTGGGAGAAGTTTGGTGCGAAAAGGATGGTGGGTCGAGCACCATGCAAGGCAGGCTAGGGTAGGGTATGTATGCGCGGGAATCGATAGTGAGTGCGTGCTCCGTCCAACCACAGAGCGAGAGCGGGAGGTCGGATGTTTCAGGTTGTTCATACGTCGCATATTCTTCGAGTCCAGTTGTCGAGGCATAGTAGTTTGCTGGTAGATCATAGTTATCCATAGTTCGCACTTCAGCGCGCCCAACCGACAGGCATCCACCAAGCCCTCCTTTCTTCTTCCTCCTCCTCCGCGGGTGCTCCCAGTCCCTCCACATCGCGGAAAGAGACATACCCCTCCCTATTCTTGAGAATCAAGCTCGAGTGATCAGCGTTAAAAGGCGGGGAAGGGGGGGGAGTGATCGGCTGCGCCTGGGTCGGTTTTCGTTTAGGAGCAGGAGAGGTGTGTGCTCTCGAGAGGACGGGTTTGGAGGGGGTGACACTGGCGCGCGGCCGAGGGCTGCTGGGGCTCGTCGGTTCCCAGGGCCAGTCAGCGTGATGCGCCGGAGTGGGCAAGCCGCGGGTGGCTACACGGGCAGAGGTCGTACTAGCGAACGAGTCGCTCCTGCTCAACGCGGGTACGGGCATAGGGCCGAAGGTGGCTCCTTCCGACAAGCCGCGTTCCCTTTCCCGTTGACGCCGTTCTTGCTCTCTCTTCTTCCTAGCCAGCTGGGTAGGTGACGGAGAGCGGGAAACGTGTACTATCGAGGTTGTCTTGCCTATCCTGCCCTTGTCTGCCGATGAACCACGAGACGGGCGCATACATGTCTGTTCTGCGATCTCCGCGAGCCAGTCTGTCTCGTCATTGTCTTCGTCGTCTTTGGAAGTAGATGATCTTGGGGAAGGGAAGGGGGGAGTGGAGGGCGGGGAGTAGGAGGCTGAAGCAGCCCGGGAGCGGGATCGGATTGCTGATTCTGCTGCTTCTGCTCTTTGCAGTGTTGCGATGAGAAGGCGTTCGCAGCGGGATTGAGCGGGTGGGGGTGACATTGTGCGGTGTGGTTGTGGTGATATGTTGAGTGAATCGAATGAAGTTGTGCTTGTGTGTTCGGAAGCGAGAGAAGGAGTTGATGCTACTGAGTAGTCTACTTCTCTTGTAGATGGTGTTGTGAATAAGTCGAATAGTCTTAGTGGGCGATGAAGTGAAGCAGAGTGTGATCTTGAGTGGGAGTGAAGGGGGGACATTGTCGAGGGAGAGGGCGGTGGGGCGGGGGGTCAAGTGGGCAAGATATGCACTTGTGCCTCAAGGCGTATAAGGCAAGACAGCAAGTGAACAACGTGGGGGGGAGAGGAAGGTAAGACTACCTCTTCACTTATGACCTCCTTGTCGCCTCACCCCCAATTCAGCCAGACCACCTTTGCCCACTTTATGCTCCCGCGTCCATCAGTCCAGACCCATTCATCTTTGATCCCGCTCACAACAACGCACCCCCAAACCTTCACTGGTCACCCTCGTCATCTCTGACGCGTACCCAATGTCATCCAGTAACTTATTCCACCATCGATCATCCTATTCCTTCGATTGTACATGGATTATTCAACCAGCATTTGTAAATACAGAGTACTTGTACAAGCACGTTCACCTTCGTCCTACTTGTTCTCCATCCATCCCATACGCACACGACCCGCGCCTCCCACCCGAACCTTCCCATCACACCCATATCATGACAAATCCTCCCAGCCCAGGAACGCGTGCCGTGGGGTCTATAACATCCCCCTTCCCTCCGCTTCTGCTCACCCTGTCACACGTCCGAGACATCCCTCCTCCTGGGCTATGGGCTATATGTCGTATCACCCCGCCTCTCTCTATGTATTGGAATTCAGTACTTTTTAAGACTCGCATTTATTAGGATCCCGCCTTCACCTATCACCGAGGAGGGGAAAGAAGCACTTTGGAATTGGGTTTCCAGCCACGCCGCTAGCAGCTCTTCGTTCTCATCAACAACCCACTCCAACCAGCGCACACTTGTAACAGAACCCTGCTCAGCCTCCTCCTAACCTTACATGTACGATGATAGGAAAGCCAGCTATGCCAGGCGATAGGTTAACTTTCTCTGAAATTGGAACGGGAACTGGAACTGGAACTGGAACTGTGAAACTGTTGGTGGGGCTGTCAGCCACCAGCATACCTGTCCAACTGCACCACAACCCACCACACTTTGACCAATCGGCCAGGACGCCAAAGTCGGCACACCACCAACACACCCAACAACGTTATGTACGCCTGCCTGATAGATGTATATGTATATGGTCGACCAGCTGTGATCCCGTACCCGAGTGAACCGCACCGGAGCGGCCTGCGCAAACGCGGTCGGGTGACTCCTCCACTTATCTCCCCTCCTTCTCTCCTCCTTCCCAATCCCCATTCCCGTCCCCGGCACTCCCCCACACTCCCCCTCCCGTGGTAGGTGGTAGGCAGTCCTATCCCCCTCCTCCAGTCATCCGTGCGGATCAGCGGACGAACCGGTCTATCATATACCCTCCCAATCCCCATCCTTACCCCATCCCAACCCCGATCAAATAAGATCAATATCAAGTTCAAGTTCCAGATCGGAACAAGAACAGAACAGGACAGGAGGAGGAGGAGGAGTAGGACATCAGATCAGTACCAGTACCAGTACCAGTACTAGTACTAGTGATATGACCTGAGGGCCGAGGGAGGGGGACAACCTACTATTAGTACGACCTATATCTATATCTATACCTATACCTGTATCTGTAGCAGATATGTACAGTACTGGTGGATCTTCCGAGGCCAAAGCCCCGGCTCCCTAATCCTAATCCTAATCCTAATCCTAATCCTGTTCTTCGTTATCAGCCGATCAGCCTCGGGCTCCAAGAACCGAAGCAAAGCGTGGGGGAAGAGCATAAGAGGTATATCGATCATGCTGAAATAGGCGGTAGACTGACGGTGGCCGATGGGACTGGCCGATGGACGATAGGATGGACGATGCACGAACGATAAGCTCGCGCCCGCTCGGCCTCCGTCAAATGGTTAATTGACCATCTTTAGCGCAGTATGGTGATCAACCTGGCTGCATGTTTGGATACTTGGATGGGTTCTGGGCATGTGAACGACCTTGAGGTTCTGGTGCGGCCATTACGGGAGTCGGAGCCGGGCGCTTATGATTGATATCAATATTAATGTTGCTGACTGTAATATTGCACACTGTAATGCTGGATATACATTATTCATGGGCTTGTCAGCTTTCATCACACGTTGTGATACCTGCCCGAGCGGACCGCCCGTGGCGGGCCTTGGATCGCAGGGGATAGATGCATATGTAGGTTATTGTTGTCTCTCCGTGTTGTTCCGCCGGCCCGACGATAAATATTGACACTGACATGGACGCTGACATGGACGCTGACATTGTTGATGATATTGGTGCGTCTTGGAGCTCGTCCGCTTGGATAACACTGTTCTTGTGATTGGTCCAGCTGGCCATGGGAGATATCGAGACCCGTCCACCTGGAGATTCTTCGCGCATCACTGGGAGTTCAAGATCCCCAAGCCCATATATACAACTGGATCGTCGCGAAGCTTCCCAAGCACAGCTGGCAGACCCGAGGGAGAGGAGACATCTGGAGTGGGCACTTCACTTCCCGCGGAGTTGGACTTGGACTCGGACTTGGGAGGCGCTGGCGCTGGACGTGGTGTTGTTTGCCCCGGAAGGCAGGGGATGACGGGCGGATCTGTGTGATTCCTGTCTTGGGCTTGGGTGTTGATGCGATTGATGGAAGAGTTGGGCAGAAGGGAGAGGCCCGGGTCTGGAATACTCTATCCTTAATGGCTGCCAGACCAAGTTGGTGCAGGACTCCGCAGGTGATGTACGCTTCTCGCACCAGTGTTCGTGTGTCGTTTATCGTTATTATATTTGGTGCCAGCTAGATGCCCCGGGTTTATTTGGGAGATTATTTGGGAGCGCGGCTGAGTCGGAAAGTCGCCGAGGGAAGCACCGAGAGACTGCGAGTGTGTGAGCAGAGTGCGCGCTGGCGAAGTTCTGGGTTCTGGGAGAGGCGGGGCTGAATAGAACGATGTTATTTATGGTGATATAAGAGGGTTGGAAGGGTTACTAGAAAGGATGTCTTTCTGGAAGCGAGGATAAGCTGTGGAGAAACATGGCCGTACAGAGACAAGAAGTGCTTCCCAACATTCGGTATGTTGATATCCCGCCATCCATCGTCCAGTCTCCCCTCCCCTCCCCTCGCCATCGCCCCCGTCAGCGACCAGCGACGGCCGATGGCCCCTCCCATCCGGCTGATCACCTTCGACGCATTCGACACGATCGTCCGCCCCCGACTGCCGATATTCGTTTCCTACACTCAGATATTCAAGGCGCACAACATTGCCGTTTCTCAGGAGGCGGTCAAGAGGGCTTTCAAACCGTGTTAGTGCTGCCCTGTGGTTGTTTCGTATGAACGTTTCTCGCTGCTTGTCATGCTCTATTCTGCGAGAGGTTGCTCACGATGGATCCCAGCGTTTAGGAAAATAGAAGCCGAGTACCCAAAGTACGGTCGAGACGCAGGCCTAACAGCCCGGAACTGGTGGGGGAAAGTGATCGCCAGCACTCTAGAGAGCGCTGGTGTGCCGCAGGAACGTGTGTCTCCGTCTCCCCATGTCTAGCATCTCGCTTGGGTCAATGCTCAGTATGGCCAGTTTCTGAGAAAGCTCTCCCGGGCGTCGTGGACGATTTGATGCGGCATTTTGGGACTAAGGAGGGGTATGACCTTTTCCCTGATGTCCTGCCTGCATGTACGTTACCCACCGTCGCTGCATGACTTCGCTTACACCGGGAATACATGTAGTACAAGCACTCAAATCGCTACCTAATCCGCCCCATCTCGCCCTCGTGAGCAATACCGACTCGCGAATGCACACCGTGCTCTCCTCCCTCGGGGTTGCGCATTTCCTCGAGCCTGCGATCCTCAGCTCCGAAGTGGGGTTCGAGAAGCCCGACCAGAGGGTGTGGGAGGAGGCTGTCCGAAGGACCGGGTTGGAAGGACTGGATTGGGAGGGGAGAGGAGGGGTGCTGCATGTTGGGGATGAGCTGGCTGCGTGTGTCCCCGTGTTCTGTGAGCCGGGTTAAG